TATTATTATTATTATTATTATTATTATTATATATCTCTCTCGTTCTAACGTTATATATATATATATATATATATATAAATACCAACACCGTTCGAACCCGCTTTTTACGCTCCTCTCCGAAAATAGAATCGTTCGAGCGTTCGATCTCGGATCCACGGATCTCCTTCTCTTGTATCTTTCGCTTTCGTTTCGTTGCGCGACAGATAGAAGATGGAAGCTCGTCGGGAGTTTTTACGAAAAATCTATCGATCCATCAGTTTGAAACGCGGTCGAGATTAGATAAAATAAATATTCCGTACACGAACGAATTCGAAGATTATTATTATTATTAATAAATTGTAAATTACCTCGCCGCCAGGTAAACCAACGGAAACGACGTCACCCTTGGTCGCCTTGATCTCGCCAAGAACGTAGCCCTCTTTCTCGTCCGGTACCCAGCATGCCTTTTTCGCATCGTAAGGTTTCGTCTGATCGATTCTCTTCTGCTCAAGGGAGACGAAGAGGTACGGGGTTGGATCGGGATCCTCTCCTTCTTGCGGCTTCGGCTTCGGCATCTTCGATTCTTATTTCCACTCGCGGATTTAAACGGATATTCGCTTCTCTCTCTTTCTTCTCCTTCTCTGCCTCTATCGCCCGCTGTCTCTCTCGCTTTCCACCAAACGTTCTGCCTTCTCGCTCCCTCTCGCTCCCGGGAAGGACTGCGTGCCTTCTCTAACGTCGTTGTTTTCCCACGTTGTTATCGCACACGCACGCGCACACAGGGTGGGAAGAAACTTGCTTGCCACTTCGTTCCTTCGCTCTTATCCTCGTTCCTCGGAGAATTCGGCGGCGGACGGACTACTTCTGGCGGCACGTTCTGCGCGGCCCTATTTTACAAACAATCGGTTATTATTAGGCCGCTTCCACGCCGACCAACCCACTTCCACACCTCCCCTACCTCCCCTCCCCCATATATATATATATATATCTAGATTATCGTTACCACGGTAACCGGTAATCCTTCGTAATTCTATTCTTTATCTATTTTTCGTTTGTTAAATTCATTATTCTTTTTTACTTTTTTATTATTTTTTTCGTAATCGAGAATACGAAAGAATTTAGAAGAGGAGAGAAATATCTAATGGAATCTTTTCGAAATCTTTTTTTAATTCGTTGTTGTTACGACGTTATTTCGAATTATTTTATTATGTAAAACACAAAGAGAGAGAGAGAGAGAAAGAGAGCGAATCGCGCGTTGCGTAACTGTGTTATTCTTCGACGGCCAACCGGAAGTCGCGCAATAAAATACGTTGTGCAACGGAAGAAGAAGAAGAAGAAAGAATGAAAAAAAGGAGACGTACGTTTTCATCGATATACTCGAATAATAATTACTTCCTTACTTACTTTTTACGAATCGTAAACGAAAGAGGAATATCCACGATTGTTCGAATCGAAAACGACAAGATGACCGTTAAATATGGGGGGGGGGGGAAGAATGCGAGAGATAGCAGAAACGATTGTTTCCGTTTTCGAAAAAGGGTACGATTTAAAAAAAACGATTCGACAAACGAATCGATCGAGTGGTTGAAACGGGACACCAGTTGTTCGTTTCAACCAGTCCAAAAAAAGCAACACGGTTCTGGAACGGGGCGTCACAACGGAAACAAGATGGCGCGGAGCACTGCACCTTTATTCTCGTTCTCGATTCTTCCTTACTTATTACGTCGATCACGTTCTACGAATTTTCGCGCACTTTTCCTTCGACTCGAGAAGGGGAGGGGAGGAGGGAAAGAAAAAAGAAAAAGAAGAAGGAAGAAAAAAAAAAAGAAAAATGTTTCGAGCACGGTGGGAAAAAAATCTTGAGACTTATCGAATCCTTATCCTCCTTCCAAAATGACAACTTGTGAAAAACTTGTAACAACACGTGACAACACTTTTATTACAACACGTATAGCGGACTGTCGATTATTCTCGATCCCGGGGGAAAAAAAACGGGAGGATTTTAATCGGTGAGCACAGCGCACTATTCCCTCGGATGTTGATCACCAATCGCACGCAGAGGCGGCCGTTTCAAACTGCCCCCCTCCTCCCACCGCCACCCCCCTTCCAGCGATTCCACTTCTGTGTACGTACGCGTGTTGTGCGCGGTTTTTTTTTCACGTGTAGACGATAAACCGATCGGTGGATATAAATAAAAGGTGATATACGTAAGAGGGAGGAAGATATCGTGAAGAATGATCGAGATGATCATATCGTTGCGAAGAGAAACAGGGTGGGAGGAAAGAAAAGAAGAAAAAAAAAAAATCACTGTTCACCAGAAAAGGAAAGAAGGATTTCGTCACGCACAAAATATTTTATCCCTCTCTCTCTTTTTTTTCGCGTCGAGTCGATATAGAGTCCTTAGCAATAAGATAAGGAGTAAATTCCACCTCGAGAACCAATGTCAGTCACACGTTCGAGGCATAAGCTCGAAAAATCACTAATCAAATCTCAACTGTATCCTCACGATTGTCTCTTTTTCTCTCTTCTCGAGAGGAAAAGTTTTTCGAAACGATGAATCTCGCACTTATCCCTTTTCTTTCTTTTCTTTTTTTTTTTTCTTTTTTTCTTTTTTTTTTTTTTTCCTTTTAACCTAACATCTAATTTATCCTTTGGAAAAAATTGACGATTTTTTTCAATACCGGAGACAATATCACTACACACCGCGAATCGGACTAGGCTCTTCTCTCACCATCACGATATTCTCTTTTCTCTATTTATTTATTTATTTATTTATTTTTTTCCTTTCTCTCTTCGATAAATCAAAATTTCAAACTTTTCTTCTTCCTCTTCTCCTCCTCTTCTATTCTACGTCTTCCTTTTCGCTTTTTCTTTTCCCAAATTGCCGTGATCGTTCGCGAAACGCGTCGTCTCGTCGTCGAGATGCGTTCGATCTTCTCTCGCGTAATCGAAAAAAAAAAAGAAGAAAAGAACAAGAAGAGAAGAGAAGAGAAGAGATGAGAAGAGAAAAGAAAAAAAAAAGAAAGACAAGAAAAGAGGAGAGAGAGAGAGAGAGAGAGAGAAAGAAGAAAAAAAGAGAAAAAAAAGCTAACGATCGAATGAACACCGACGTTATGCACTTACGTTAGAGAGCCGTTCTGTCGGGGAAACGAGCGGGGGCTCCCAATATAAGCGCGTGCAACGTGATCCTAGAATGTAACGAGCTCGACGATTGGCCCGTCATTTCGGCCAATAAGAGAGCACGTTAGTTCCTGGGCCAATCTACCTTTTTAGGTGGAGATGATACCAAAAGTGTGACAAGGGGTGGCCACGGAAAGCTACAACCGCCTCGATCGGCCGAGTGAGATGAAAATAGACGTGGGAAGAAGACGGCCGACCACTTTCAACGGGCTCGTTTTCTCCCATGTCCATTTTTTTCCTCCTCTTCCTTCGACCCTCCTTTTCGATCCTTCCTCCGCTTCTCTCCCCCCCCCCCTCCGCCCCGAGATAAACATCGGCAATCGGTTGTTTCAAATCGGTCCCTCCCTTTCCAATTTTCCGATCGACCGATCCTACCTACCTACCTACCTACCTACCTACCTATCTACCAAGTTTTTCATATACATCAAGATCACCGCTGCTACACGTGGAACACGCACGTGCTCGATAATAGCCGCACATCTCGCGCAGACACCGATTTCACCGATAAATTATTACTCCTCCTCGCCTTCTCTCTTCTTCTCCGTCTCGTTTAAAGGAAAGAGATAAAAAAAAAAAATTATATCATAGACAACACGCGCCTTTTCGTGCCCCCGTTATACGTAACTCGCGTACGTTTTCGCTTATTACGTAACAAATTGGTATGTTCGAAAGATTGGAAAAATTCGTTTTTCAAATCTTCGCGCGGTGGCGTGCCTTCTCTCTCTCTCTC